TATTAATTAGCCAAAAGAGTTGAACAAGAAAGCAATATAATGTGCTTCTGTAAACAAAATCAAACCCAATAAAACTCACTGCCACTAAGTTAGTCAGTTCTGACTTATAGAGTTTCCAAGACTGTTTGTTTTTACATGAGCAGTCTCATCTTTTTCCCTTAGAGCAGCTGGTGGGTTTGAACCAACGACCTTGAGGTTACCAGCCAAGACCTAACCCACAGGAACACCAGGTGCCTTAATGTGTTTCTAGGGAGTACAAATGAATATGGGGTATTATTGCTTTTTCTTTTAAAAAAGTTTGTGAACGAATACTTTGAATGAGGTACACGTATAATTTTGATCTGAAGAAACATCTTTAAAAGATGTGCTAAATAAAATAATAAAGCAAACAGGATGAGATGCAAGTGTTGCAAGATGAAATCATGAGTGTGGGCTTTGGCCTGGAGGAGGAGAGTGAAGAATGTCCTGGAAGAAGGGAGAAGGGAGTGGCTGGTACAGCCTGGGGGGCTGGGGAAGACTTGACTGTGGAGATCTCTCTCTGAGCCTGGGAAGGAGGGGAGGAGGCAGCTGATCACCAAGGCAGACAGTGTGTACAGAAGGTTGGGGAGTGGCCCTCGGCGGGTGCACAAACCTGTGGGTTGGGAGGAATGACCCCCCTCCCCCACAAGGTGAGCTGCCTTAGGTGCCCTGCTAGGGAATCTGCACTTGGCCCTTGGTGGGTAGTCAGGGTCTCTGCAGGTTTTTGATGGGGAGTCACAGTGTCAGTCAGATGTGCATTTTAGAGACAGAGGAGAGGGGGGAGGAGGTGGTTGCAAAAGTCACATTCAAGCCATCAGAGAATCAGGTCCGCCTTGTCCTTGAACCAGAGCCCTCTCCACAGTGACCACCTGGGTCTGAGTCCCGGCCACCCTGCTTGGATTAGTGTAGCTCATCACTGACCAGCTGTCAGAGGCCAGACACCCTGGTTAACCTTACTGAGCCTCAGTTTATTCAGCTGCAAAATGGGATTGCTCACCCCAAAAGCACCAGGCAAGAGATGATGAAAGCTCTGGCTTCGGGGTTCAGGCAGATGGAGCCTCCCATATCCACATATAGGTGTGAAGCATGTAAAGGTAGGCTGTGTGCACATCTGCTGGGGGCACACCGGTCACACTCGGCTCCTTGTCACAAGACCATGTCACCTTCTCTCAGATTCTACCAGATTTTATCCTTCACAAGAGGCTGCAAGGCCCAAGCAGAGTGATTTTACGATGATTTCTCAAGGAGTCCTGGTGGCGCAGCGGTTATGTGCTCAGTTGCTAACAAAAAGGTCGACAGTTTGAGCCCACTAACCGCTCCACAAGAGGGTGATTAGACAGTCTGCCTCTGTAGAGATGACAGCCTAAGAAACCCTATGGGTCAGTTCTAGTGTCCTACAGGGTGGCTATGAATTGGAATCAAGTCCACAGCGATGCATTTGGACTGTGATTTATTGAATGCCTGCCAAATTCCAGGCACTGCCATGTAACACCCAACTTCCAGTCTGCCTGATGCCACTTGGAGTATCCATTCCTCTCCTCTGGAAAGCCATCCTTGCCCATCCCCATCAGGGTCAGAACTCCTCTACGGAGAACAGGGCAGCTAGGAACCTGGGATTTGGGCTTAGGTACATAGCTGTCATTCTGGCAAGTTACTTAGCCTCTCTGTGCCTCAGTCTCCTCATCTGTTAACTGGGAACATGGGTGCAACAGGTTCACTCAGGGGCTCTGGGAACAGTGATAACATGAGTAGAGGGTTTAGTTGCGTGCCAGTAGTCTGTGCTCGACAGATGTCAGAATCATCATTTGCCCATCACAGAGCTAATGGGACCCCCTGTATAAGCCTGTGTTACCTTGTAACGTGAGGCCTTGAACCTCAAGCGAACGAGGACAGACACGGCTGTCCTGCATATCCCTATGGAGTGTAACCTCCATCAGAGGCGTCCAGCAACATTTCCGAGCAGGAATAAACGAATGTTTTCAGGGATGAATGTAGATGAGGACACTCAGAGAGACTGGGGAGCCCACACAGCAAGTGGGGGACCAGGTGCGTGCAGAAATAAGAATAGACAACAGGAGTGGGCTCCTCTGACAGCACAGAAAGGCTGCAGGTGTGGAGACTGAGGCTCAGAGAAGTCTAGCAGCTCATAGGAAAGATCTGGCAACCCGCTGCTCTAAAGCCTATGGTACTAAGGAGGCCATTCCTTCCTGGTGATAGGAATTCATTTTCAGGCCTGTCTGTTGTTTGGTGGAAAGTTGATCCCAGGGCAGGGATTTGTAGTGCAAGGCTGTTAGGATGTGTGAGGGGAGTTCAGTTCCAGGCTTGAAAGGTGTCTAAGGGCCAGATGGTCACAGTGGTGGTAGTGGGGTTACTTCCATCAGTCTCCTGTATGCTTCTTAATTTTGTTCTATATTGTTCCCTTCCCTCTGTGAGGGGACTCCAACCAATGAGAGGTGACACATTGTGACGGAATTGTTGAATGAAAAACTAGTGTGCTCTGTAAACTTTCACCCAAACGACAATAAAAAGAAAAAGCAAACAATCAAGACTCTATCTCAAAAGGTAAAGAAAGCATCTATAGCCTTGGAAACCCTACGGAGTAGCTCTATCTGTCCTCTCGGAATCAACTCAGGGCTAGGATCACAAAATAAAGCTTGCTGGAGCAGGCACCTGGGAGTGGGGACCATGTTCTCTGGCCACTTTGCCGCCACTCTCTGCAATCATCCGCTGCACGTGGCTGAAGAGTGCGCGCAGACACCCGGTTTACCCGCCCCGCGGCCCCGCAGACCCACCTGAAGCCTGGGCCGCGGGCGGCCGGCGCGGCAGCCGAGCCCGAGGCCGCAGCAGAGGCCGAGCGCCGCACCCAGCAGCACG